ATATATATATATAACATACCATCCTCCCAAGGAAAGACGTCTGAGTCGTTGTTCTTTTCAGTGGTGTTGTTACAGTGCCAGCAGGTTTCAGACTCTTTTGCAGTATAATCAACAATGATGATGCATTTGATAGCCAGTATGCAAGATCGGGGTTGCTGTCTTGTTTCTGTGATACAAATTTTGCAGATTTTTAGAAGGGCAACATAAATCGAATAAGCCAGACAGGATCACGCTATGATGAAGATAATCAAGTAAATCATAGAATCAAACCAAACACAATAATTGGTTAAGTGTTGGAACACTAGCAAGAAATACCTGCATTCCTGAAGCAAAAATCTGAATAATCCGATCAAAAACATTTGTCTTTTCTGCCTCGAAAGTTCTCCAATGAAGAAGACATTTGTATATCGTTATTGCAGCAACTGGTTTTCCATCGCTAAATCCAATGTTTTCGTTAACACAGTTTATAAGTGCTTCAACACTCTCCTGCAATGAAAAGGTGGAGCCATAGTTTAATTTGTTTTCTAATGACTTCATTAACTGCTTTAATTATCGAACATCAGCCCAAGTAAGTACTTGGTGTCTCTCAATTAAAGATCTCCGTCCGAATTCCATAGGTGTGGGTGGTGACTGCAGGGATGATTATATTAGATTCAATCATGAAAAATAAATCTAAAGAGTTATTAACAAGCAGTGTAAGATATTCCAAACCTGTTGTTCGTCTGCAGGTACACTCAAATTCTGCACAGTTGCAAACACTCCGAAGCATAAGAATACTTTCATGTGAGTGTGCACACAAGAGAGAGAGAGAGAGAGAGAGAGAGAGAGAGAGAGAGATTACAGATTTTTTATGCATGTTAAGCAAAGGATCAGGTCTTGGTCTCGCAGCATGTTGTCGGAGATTAATGATCTCTGCTTCTGCACTAGCCAACTTCTCTCGAAGGCTGGTCATGGAAATAATTGCAATCGTTTAACATAAGATGGCTTGGTTAATAAAGGATAGAAGCATTTACCAGCATCACGAGTTTATATCAAATACAACATGAAAGAAGAACCTTAGAAATGCATTCTTTAGTTGATTTAGCTGTGACTCTGCCTCTGTAGCTTTCTTCATAGACTCTTCTCTGACTTGGTCTTGTTCTTGAAACCTCTCTTCCGTTTCCTCTATTTTTGTCTCAAGAGAGCTCACCAGTGTCTGCAAGTCAAAAGTTTATCACTCCATTACTCCACTAGGGGTACAAAAAATAATAATTGGATAGCAAGTGTATTCATGCTATGCACACCCTCCTATGATTAGCCATTTAATAGCAAATGATTTAACCAATGAATACTTCTATTTGAACATCGAAGCTACCAGACTAATCAAAATCTAAGATGTTCAATAACGTAGATTATTAAAAAAATTAAATGGTATTCATCCTCATTTATGGTTTCACATGAATATCCAGAAAAAGGATGAGGAGTTCACTGATTCAATGGTACCTATATAAGCTACACAAGATTCATCGCTAGATTTTGTTATCACATTTTCTTTTGTATTTGTTCGTATTTCTGCGTTAATACCTTGAGCTTCTCATTTTCAGCAGTGAGCTTCTCTTTTTCGGCAGTGAGCTCATTAACTTGAGTTTCATCAACACGGATCTCTGGCACTAGAGTAACTTTCTCTGCTTTCTCTGATGCTACCTTGGAAGTTTCCTGTTCCTTCTTTAACAATTCTTTTGTTTCCTTGAATTGTTGTTGCAATTCCTGCAATTGTGATTGGAGCTTCTTATTTTCTTGAATTTTCGCTTCCTTGGCTTCTTCCAAATCAGACTGCAAGTATAAAATATGCATATGTAAGTCCAAAATCATCAAAAGTTTCCTTTGTAATGCTATGAGATGCACAATGCTCCTCTTATACTAGCAAATGTGCCAGCTGTTGACATGATATCTGCAGGTTTTTGTTCTTATTGTTCAATCATTTTCCCTCTTCTTTATTCATTCACTACAAGATGTTAATTTACATGACAGTCCAGATTAGTTTAGCAACCTAAGAAGTGCCTATTTGAGAGACCATTTTTATTATTACAATAAATAGCACCTTATTGGCAATAGACAAAATAACATACACCGCAAGATAAAAGTGCCTTAGAACTATTTGACAATAGAGAAAATAATAGAATAACATACAAGTGCGCCATGCATAAACAACATTTTTAGAGACATTGTGGCCATGGTTCTGTGCTAGTTTACCCTGATGCGCTTCTCCACTTGTAACCGCCAAGTAAGCTCCTCGACTTCTTTCTCTAGTTTACTCTTGGCAGCCTGTAGGGCACCAGTTTCCTTTGCAGCCTGAAAGTGGCCAGGCACAAAGAAATCAAATAGTTATCGATAACTGAATCAATTAGAGTTATAATGAACCCAGTGATATGCTTTGCTTGGTGATGCAGAGAAATAGAAGCGTAAGACCATGGTAGTTGAGTGGTGTATCCTATATCTTTTTTCGAGCAAACTGGCTGGTATCCTAATAAAAACAGTTCTTTAAGGAAGATAAGGAATAGTTCTGATAACACAAGTTTGCAATTGCACTGCCATGACTTTGGGTAGAACTACGGGTTAGTCCTTGGATATGGTCATAACAAATCGCTAGCAGCCGCAGAAAGTGCACAGCATTCACACCAGTGATGTGGACACAGACCCTGCAGATGATGGCTCTACAGCCACCAACGAGCATGATAAGCCAGCGAGAGGGCGAACCAAGACTAGTGGTGGGATGTATCGCATACAAGGCAGTAGACATGATGATTTTCTATGGGGAGAGAATAGGGAAGAAAAGGACAGTGGCAATTTGGCTCATTTCCAATCACAACAGGGGTAAAATGGTGTTTTTGCACCAGGCCTAATGTCCTGTCAATGCTAATGACTGCTTAAGTATATATAAGGGATTTCCCCCTTGAAGAAACCAACAATACTGTAGCTTGAACCAAGGGAAGAAAGGAGAAATTCAGGATAAGTTTACAAGAAGGGCTCTTACCATTTTGAGCTGTCGAAGTTCTCTTCTAGCTATTTTTCCTCTCCAAGCACACTGAGTTACGAGTATGGCCTTTGTCATCCTCACATATCGTGAGCGCGCTAAATGACAGCGGCATCGACTCTACAAGGCATGAAGTCATATTAGAGTAGGTCTGATATGATGGCATAATATTCCTGATATTAGCCTCTTGTTATCATGAGAAACACAAATATTTCTGATGATTTTTGCTATTATTCTTATTAGCACCTCATTTCACTATGCTGAAAACATAGTATGTTTATTTATGTCAGTAGAAAACATATCAAGCTTTAGTGTTAAGATAAACACAAATATGACAGAGCCAATAAATATCTATCACAAGTACTCCCTCCGTGTCCGAAAAAACTTCCCCCAAGCTTGTCCATCATGAAGTCAAATGGATGTATCTAGCACTAACTTGGTGCTGGATACATCCATTTGAGGGACAAGCTTTTTCGGACGGAGGGAGTATCTGATATATGGTCATCCATATTCTATTTGTATTTGGTGTATCTACTCTGATTGAATTAACCATTGAAGCCTCAGAAATACCTGAATAATCACTGCAGCTTTTGTTTGTCGGCAAAAACGCAGTTTGCCGCGAGCAGCCATACCACGTAGACCACATTGGATAGTAGTTGATGCGGAACACAGATCTCTATATTTTATTCTTTCATGGCGCATACGGCGATAGGTCTGAATTTTCAAAGCAGCTGCCTGTCTTCGAAGATTTTCATATAACCTTCTAGCAGTTGTTCCTTTGATAATTAAAGTATAGAAGAAGTCACTATCACTGCTAAAGCAGGGTTTGTGGAGAAAGATTAAAGTGAAAACAGATAAATGTACCCCTGCATACTGCCTGGAGTTGTGTAGCACATGTTCGCATCTCGACATACTTCTTGCGAGACATAAACGAACGAACTTTGGTTTGTAGTTTTTTAGCAGAGAGTCCCAAAACCTCAGTTCTTAGAGCATCTAACTCAGCCATTTGACCAGCACGAAGAAACACTTTTGTTTTCCCTATCTGTAAATTCAAAATCAGAAGGTGAGGCTGATACAAGAATAATGAAACAACATATCAGTGTTTGACAGTCAAACTTTGATTCACCTTTCAGTCTGGGATCTCTATATATTACTGGAATATCTTTTAGCAAACCATTTTGTTTGGGGCATGTGCAGGGGTGGAGCTAGACTGAGATCGACAGGTGTTTATTCTTTGATTTCTGTATTCTGGCACCGTCAGGTGCACCTTACGTGGGTTAGGATGATGCACAAGCGACTCGTCAGAATTATTCTTTGGCTGGGTATGTACAACCCCGAGGGCCCTATTTGGCTCCACCCCGGATACCCAGGTCATAGATACTAAAAATTCCCACACAAATCCAAGGAAAATACTAACATTACTTTCTTTTGGGGATCCAGATTATTTTTTCGAGAAAACGCAAGAGAGTGGGGGATCCAGATTATAACAGTGTACATTAAAATTTAGTTCCGTATCGTAACTCAGTTTAACACTGCCTATTCCTTAAAGATTGTCAACTGTGTAGATCAATCATGGGTTCTTGGGGGTTCCTGTTGTGAACTTGTGATGTTATTTCCTTTAAGATGGCCAAACTAAGAAAATTAGCATTGATATTTCTTCTAATAGTTACCTGATAGCCTACAAGGTTAGCTTTCTCGAGAATCATCTTCGTAGAAGTAATTTCAGTATTGCTGCCAAAGGAACACATAAGTACTAACAACATATGGAACAGAAACAATGAAATAATCAAATAAATAGTAAGTTTACCCTTTACTCAGAGCTTTGGGATGCAGAATACCAAATCGATTGACAAATTCATAAAAGGTTCGCCTAGTGGGGTATCCTAGACAGCTTATCCTTATTGCCTCTAACACACCCTGTTCAGAAAGACAGATGGCATTACACAACTCGAACAACTAATTCTTGAACAGTTAGGAACCTAATTTTCATAAAGTTAACTGTAAGGGAGATATAGGAGCAACAACCAAATGCAGATAATTGTAATTTTGTTTTTTTAGCAGATGCACATTAATCTGTAAGTGTGCATGTTACGGCACCACATTAAATCTAGAGGTAAATGGAGAGTGCATGCATGTTATATTGTCCTGCGGCATTCAAGTTAAATTATTTATTGTTGAAAAAAATAATGATGTGGAATGTTTTTATCTTCTTTGATGATGCAGAGGGAGTGCATGTGGTGGAAAGTGGAAAGTTGATTGACCGCATGCACTTGATGATGTGGATGTATTGCATGTGCATTTAAATGGGAGGTAGCATGTGTGTGGAACATATGTGATGAGGTGGATAGGCTGCATGTTAAGATAAATAAGATAGTGGGGATGAACTTCTTAGGTATATGGGGTTACATTTTGAACAATAGAAATGAATTTTTACTGCATAACCCATTATGATTTAAGGCTTTGGGCTAAGTATTTATGAATAAAAAAACATGAGCATTCAGTTTCATGCATTGGGACCAGCAACAGTCGAGCAAAAGAAACATCACAGAAACTGGTCATGTTTAATGAATACATAAAGAGAAATTTCACAAGCCTCACCCCACACCGAAGCTGCTGGAGAACATTACTGTTCTCAAATATCTCTGGCTTGAGAACATTATTGGGTTTTATGCAGCGGATGTAGTGTGGTTCTGTTGCACTCAACGTTTCTAACAGAGATTGTAGTTGTTGCTGTAACATCATGCCAAAATAGAGGTGTAAATACACAGAAATATATGTAAGGACCATGGAATAGAGCAAATGTTGTACCTTGAAACTTGAGCCTATCGAAGTAAACTTTGTTGACTTCGCTGATTCTTCAACAGGTGGAAAAAGACTTGAAACAAATGGACATGTTGAAGCATTTAATAGGATCTGATGTTCATTTACAGCATAATCTATGTTTTTATCTAAGAAAAGATCTGTTTGATAAGTGACCTGCAGCAGACAGAGATATAAATTTAGTGTGTGCATCTTAACTTTGTAAATACTCCCTCCGTCCGAAAATACTTGTCATCAAAATGGATTAAAAGGGATGTATCTAGAACTAATATACATCTAGATACATCACCTTTTATTCATTTTGATGACAAGTATTTCCGGACGGAGGGAGTAGCAGCCAGTTCAAATAGAACCGACTGATTAGCAGGAGCAATAAACCATCTCCTGACAAGATAGATGGATACATGTTTGTCAGGAGGATCAAGGAATGCCAGCTGACTCTAGGCCAAAATGCATGAGGGTGCATATGCAGTAATGCAGAAGAGTCAAATAAAATAAAATTTATAGAAGGTAGCTATAATAATTAGCTTGATTCTGGGTCAATTAAACATGATCTTAGAATGGTAATATCTTGTGCAGTAAGTACACCATATGCATCATAAATTACATGTCAATCACATATATTTTCCAGCATGTGCAGACAACCGATTACCACTCAAAAACATATAGCCACAAAACATAATATTTACTATTGACATGTATGTCAATAAGGTAACCTACATGTCCAGCATAATGATGAACGGTGAAGTCAGATCTTGAAAATTTGGGTTTACTGAAATGTGGGCTGTCCTTGAACTTCTGATATAGCTTCTCAGCAAATGTTTCATGGGTTGAATTCCGTAGCATGCTGAATCATAATAGAAAACAACTGTTAATAACTTTTTGGGATTCTAACGGAAAAAGGTTATTAACAGTTATTTGTAAATACCATGTCTCATCCAACAGAGCAATTATCCCACCCGGTTTCTGCATCAAATAAATTAGAAACAAGAAATAAGATTGCATAGCATGAGCAGAGCACATAATTAATTGGTTATTACAATATATCATGGCTAGACAATTGCATAAAACTGGAAAAAAAATGCACGAAACACAATCAACCAGATAGCAGATATGTATCATGCACAGAAATACTGCTGTTCTCATGTATTCAATGGAGGCAAGAGAGGAAAGAAATACTGCTATGCTGATCTGGAATGTCAATATGGATGGAAACTATCGCCGTCTCAGTATACAATCTGGTATACAGACTTATAATGACTAGTACCAGTACATCTAAGTATCTAAGTCATCATCTCCAAATGTTCTAGACCTTGACCCTAGATGCAAGATCTTGTTCAAGCATTACCGTTGTGCTGTATTTTGTTACATGCACCAAACTGATCATAAAGACAGCACTGTGACTAGAATCTGAATTTCAATACCTTTTCAATGAGATCAAGAATTTCCTGGTTGTCTACAAATTGGATGTAGCTCCAGTCAATTTCTTCTTTTGTATATTCTTCTTGTTCCATCTTAAAAACATGCTGTTCATGGGACATGTGTTATTAGTTAGAAAAGGACTCAACGTTAAGCTGGTTGGACGACCTAAACACAAAACTTGTCGAGCAAAGGAGATTTCATTTTATAACCTGGTTAAAATGTTGCTGGAGCTTCTCATTAGTTAGATTGATACAAAATTGCTCAAAGCTGCACACAATTAAAATGTCAGCATGTGCTAATTACCTTCTTTCAAACCTGACATAAGCAGATGGTTATGTATGCAGAAGTTGCATTATCTTCTGCTGCCAGTTAAAAGTATTCATAATCGAGGACTTCGGTGAACAAAAGAATTAGCAACTGAAACCCAGCTCCACCGGGCGGTGCTACAGTGCCTTCCTGAGGCTTGTGCATAAACTACTTTCCTATCAGCGCATCGAGATGCATCCTTTCGCGCTTTCTTGAAGAAAATAGTTTTAGCAACAAAATATCGATATTATGCTTTTAAGTTACAAACTACAGTATTTGCCTTCGCATTTTTTACAAAATTCCTGTTTAGTACTAAGAAAAGAGCGTAATATCCCATAAAAACAAAAGGGTATAATACCCCCAGTCCATGTTTGGCCCAGGAAGGTTGGTTACTGCTGTGTTACTCCCCCACGCGGCTACTTGTGTAGTTTAGAGAAGCATATTTGTGCTAAGGATATCTATCATCCATTCCTGTTGGTTTGGGTTGGACATACCTAGGATCGCCAATCATTTGATACTTATATCATATAGGAGTAGTTCTAGTTTGATTAATTTTCCTCTGATCCACACTTCAGGCATACAGGAGGATAAAGGAGGGTATCCTATTCCTATCCTCCCAAACGTAAGTGCCAGTGTGTTGCACATGAATGTTGAAGTCCATCTAGTAAGACTTCCATATGTGACTTCTACAAGTATACGGACACGGATATTAGATTAAATGCAAAAGCATACCAGTTAAGCACCTGTTTGTCTTGAAACTTTCAAAACCATATATGTCCAGCACACCAATCAAAATCTTTGAGTCTGGATCTTGGCCAATGGAACTATTGATTTTATTTACAAGCCTGTAACAGTGGGGAACACAGTATTCATAACTAATCTTGTCTACGCCAGATATACAGAAGCACAAAGAAACCTTCCAAAATGATGGTTTCCAGACTTACCAATCAAACAAGCGCGAGTAAACAATCCTAGACAATGCATCTCTGCTAAGAGCTGCACCCTTTGCATCTAAATTTTTTGTAATACTCTCTCCACGTGTTGCCATAACACGCTTGCACAAAGATTCCTCAAGACCCTTTGCATCGCACCTGCAGAATGTTTGCCGGTGAATGTTTGTTCATAAAAAGTATGCAAGAAGGAACTTTCTGAAAATATTCAAAAGAAAATACTAAATAAATATATACATGAAAAGCTCAGCTGCTGTCTTAAGATGGAACTGAGATTTCTCATCTTTGGGTGCAGAGGAATCTTCTTCCTTTCCTTCTCCAAATTCTACATTCCCCAAATGAAGAATAGCAGCTACAACTTTGAATATTGCATCCTAAAAGACATGTCAAATTGTATGTCAAAAGACTGTTCCTCTGCTGCTGATGTACAAAACTGGTTGCTGGTGAAATTGGTCGTACCTGTTCCTCATTACTCATACCTACAATACCCATAGCTCTTCTGGTTTCGACATATTCTTTGGAGTCATCAAACCCATTAAGTTCAATGCAATTAGACTGGTTGAGATAGCGAAATGTTTTAGCCTCTCCCAATTTATATTTCGCTCGTTCCTGATAATCATATTCAAATATCAAAGCTATAGATCAGTGCACTACATATGATTTATATAGAACACTCGAATTTACAAAGGGTTGCCCAACGTTAAATAACAAAAGGCGGACCAGATGATGTAACAAATCAATAAAAATGCTAAGTAGATGATTTACAGTTGCAAATCAACATCTTAATGTCTTAGTTCCATCTTACAATTGCTACTCATCTTATTTGAAAATCTAATATCTCTAAAAGAACAATTTACTTGCGAGAAATGCATGAGAAACTATATCTTTCTTGAGATGATTATGTTTAAACCTATTTTACAGAAAGCAGAAGCAAAGTTTCAGCCGGTAGCGGTTAGCCTCTTTATGCGTGAGCGCCCTGAGGTTTTTACGAATATCTTGAGTTTTTACAGTGCGTAATAGGATATGCTTCAGATTAGTGGGTATTGTAGTCAATTGTTGTACAGCAGTTGCGAACAAAATATAAGTTAAACAAAATGTAGTAATTCACAAATAAATAATGTGGTTCCAAGAAAATTCAGAAGAAGACCATAGTGAACAGGATCTTACTTCTGGTGCAGCACACAGCATGTAAAAGCAGTGATAGTTCCTTTCTGGGTCAGATATTTGACAGACACGTGACCTTTCCAGAAGATAAGTCCTTATGGCGGCTCCTGAAATCTTCCCGTACTGGTCAAACTGAATCTCAACAAATTTGCCAAACCGACTGCAGAATCAAGAAAGGGAATAAGATGTAAAGCAAAAATCCTATGAAGATAATACATTGAAGTTGTGTAAGTAAATCAATGCTAGTTCATTACCTTGAATTATTATTCCTAACTGTTTTTGCATTGCCGAATGCCTCAAGAACAGGGTTGGACTGTGTCAGGTAAGTAGAGCATGTCAGAACATAATGTGAATTACTACATACTAGTGCTTCTTAACCACTTTTTTAGAACTTGCCAGGTGCGCTTGTGCTACCAGCAAAAGAAGGGCACTGAGAAACGCACCTCTAGGATTTGTTCTTGCACTGACCTTCCTTCAGCTTTAGCTTTACCACCCATAAAAGCAAGATACTGCATAAGACTTTTAGTGCTTTCTGTCTTACCAGCTCCACTCTCTCCACTCACTAATATTGCTTGGCTGATACGATCGTTGATCATAAGTCTGGGAAGAATAAAGATAGGGTGCGAATTGGTTATTATTGTCAGGTAAAATGTTGAATCTGAGAAACTGCAGCGGCAGTGGGGGACGAACGCACCTATACGCACGGTCGGTGATAGCAAATGGATGGGGACTCAGCTCACCGAATTCTGCTCCTTTGTAAATTCCCATCATGTGGTTGTTATAGAGGTGGGGGAGTCTTTGGAATGGATTCACAGCTATCAAAATATTCCCAGTGTAAGTCTGGAAGAAGAATTTAATCCATTAGAGAAGCTGCAAGAAGATGAATAGTATCTCAAATGAAAAAGGTACTTTTGTGCACATGAAGAAGGTACGTAGTTGCTCAGAGCATTTTTCATGATGGAATTCCACTGGCTCATGGAAAATTAACCTGGATGTTAATTTGTTGAGGGACTCAACTTACGTATATCTCATTGAGGGCGTATCTGGACTTGAGGTTCTGGAGCACTCCTGGTTCGTGCAGATAGGCGAGCCTGGTCATATCCTCGACACCACCACGCGGGGATTCCGTGTCCTTGGGAAAGGCAGTCGAGAGATTAACGGTGGCCTTCTTCCCATTGGTGCAGTTTATGACAAGGTCCTCCCCGTTGACCTCCTCCACCTGGCCATCCATCCATGCCTCGTCTGCATCTTCGATCCAGACATGAGAGCCGACGACAAAGCGGCTTTTGGTTTTGGATGCCTGCAGCAGAGACGACAAGATTGACATTAGTTCTGGTTGATGCTGGCATGTATGCATGGTACGTAGAAATTAATCTACATTCCCTTGTATCAGTTATTATGGATGAAATTAATCTGCATTACAAGATGTCTCAAATGCAGAAACCCCATTGAAGGATGTATGTATGTATGTACGTTTCCCTTGAACAAACATGGTAGAATTAAGGCTTGCATGCATTGAATTGAAGAAAGAAAAGAAGCAACAAGCATTGATCGCGTCCGGGCATTTCATCAAACAGTTGTTGAGGCCACGCAAAGGGGTCGCATTTGGGGCCAAGAACCGATTTTGATCCGACGGATAGAATGGAGGGAAAGATTGATAGAATACCATTGTTGGGCGACGGCGGCGGGGCGACGATGAGAAGAGATCAGAGGGAGGCCGGCCGCATCAACTCCGTCCCGCGGCGGCAGGCCGAATGCGAGCGGTGCCGGTCGAACGGCGGCCGCACCACCACCGCACCGCAGCAGGCGACGGCGACGGCGACGGGGAATGTGGGGGGAAATGAATGAAATCCTACGGAGCAGGGTCGAATCCACGGCGAGCGAGCATTGCCGTCCGTCGACAGCAACGCGGTGGTGGTGGTGGTGGCGAGATTTCCTTGGGCTCGCTCTGGTTGTGGAGCTCCCTTACTTTTTTTAGCAGCGGGTGTGGGGAGGAGGGGGAGGTGGTGGTGGTCATGGGATGCAATGCAGGAATGGAGGAGCCGCCCCCGCACTCCCGCGCCATTGCCATTGCCACACACCGAGAAGAATGCGGGATGCTCTCTCTCTCACACACACACACAAACCAGCACATGCCACTTTCCTTCTCTCTCTCTCTCTCTCATGGGTGGGTTCTCTTGGGCCGGGCCCCGCCGAGCCCGTGGGCCGGCATTAAAGCTGGCCATATATATGGCAGCGTCACGTGGGCCGGCCCGTGCTCATGGAAATTTGGCCCGGCATGTGCCTGATATACGGCACGCGATTAAGAGCATGTTTGGTTGCCTGCATCGATTTTTAGTGCATTTGCATGTGATTCTCAGTATGCATATGGTTTGGTTGCCAGCATATGGGTTAGCTCCATGAGGGAATTAAATTTGACCCGCCGCTTGGTTGGCTGCATGGCATTAGACACACATAATACTCGTTGTTTGGTTGCAACCTTGCATAAGGTGTTGTTACCGCTTCTCAGTGGTGATGACTTTATCACACACGATCTGAACAGTTTCACTCTCAGCTACGAAACAAATTACGATTCACCCTAATTACTATCAAATGACAGTACAGATTAATTGTTGGCCGGCTGGTGCGGTACGTAGCCTGTACGGCTTGTTTTTTTTCTTAATTTTTTAGATTTTTCTCCTGTTTTTATTCTTAAAAATCTAGATACAAAACAAAGTCCATGAAGGCCCATAAGGCCGAAAAGCAACGCGGTCCGGCCCGCGGCCATGCTGTGTCGGCCTTTATAACTGGTGCAACACCATTGCAACACTCGGAGAAAAATGCGGCATGCACTTCTCTCACAAACCACACATGCCAATTTCTCATCCGTTCTCATGGGCTGGCCACCGGACCTGTGGGACGGTATTAAAGTGTCATATGGGCCGTGCCATGCGGTCCAGCCCGTGGGCGTAGAATTTTGCCCAGCACGACACGTAATCAAAAAGGTTTGGGCCAACCTTCGGCCTGCATCGGAACAAGGCCAATCCCGAAAACCAGGCCTTAAGGCTAGGTACGTCACGGCCCTTTTAATTGCGTGCTGGGATGACATAGCCTGAAGCGGTACACGGTTGTCCAGCTTGTAACTAGACTTATTTATTACCCTAAAAAAACTAGACTTTTATTTGTTTATTTTTGTATTTTTCAACTTTTCCTATATTTATTTCTTAATTTTTTTTTAGTTTTTTCTCAATTTTAGAAAAACAAAAAGGCCCTGAATACTCACAAGGCCGAAAGCAGCACGGACCGGCCCGCAACCATGTCGTGTCAGCCATTATAACTGGCAGGTCAGGCTGATCCTTGGCCCTTATAGCCGGGTTGTGCCGGGCCGGCCCATGTGGCTACGTTTGGATAGTATCCTAGATCATTGATAGGCTTCCCCT